CGTTTGCAGCTGCCGGCAGCTCGGTGCCACCAGTCCCGACCTGTGCCATGACAACTGTGGCGTCCCCGCAGCCCCCTTCACCCAAGGCCAGCACCCCCCCGCTGGGCTGAGATGCCGTGAGACCCCAGAGCCAGGGGGGTAAAGCTGCTCAGAGAGAGCCCTCGAAATGCCAAACGTGTCACCCCAGTGATGAACATCCCCCGTGGAGATCTACCGGGGACGGGGGAGTTTGATAAGACACACGTAAAGCGAATACTTCTTATGATACATGATTTATAAGTAGATCTGCCTTGAAAAATAGTGAGAGGCAAGAAGGTTGCCTGAGCTAAGAGAGACATTTTAGCTGACAGATGGTCAGAGCATGAAGCGGTGCTGCGCTGAGGGGGGATCCTCCTCCCCGCTCCTCATGGAGCCCTGTTTGGAATAAAGCCGGGGAGAAAGGAGGTGAAGACAAGTCCTTCAGAGCTTTGCACCCTCCCCAAGGATGGGAGAGGGCAGAAATTGCCATTTCACAGCAGGAACCCCCCAGCCCGGGTGATGCTACAGGGTCCCTCCAGCCAAGGGCTGAGGATGGAGACAGCTCATGACACTGATGTCAGAGGAGCAGAAGGGGAAAAAGGTGCTTGAAGAGGATGGGGGACACATAGCTCGCTCTTCTCCTTGGCCAGACCAGCTCCTGGTTTTGGGGGGATGCACCGAGCACCCTCTGCACCCGGGTGTGCTGGCGGCCATCCCGGCTCCGAGCCCTGCGAGCGGTTAACAGCCGGCGCGGCGGCTCTCCAGCACAAGCGTGGAAGCTGCGCAAAGTGCCGGCTTATTGTCTAATCCTCCGGAGCATCGCTCCTGCCCTGCCCGAGACCTGCAGGGACCCGGATGCATTTTAATAGAGCCGGTGCTTGAAAGCGCAGGGTTTCTGGGGAGCTCATTAATAAAGCACAAGCATGAAAATTTCATGAGGCGAGAAGGAAACGGGGGCCAAGGAGCCGGGGAGGGTACTGCGCTGGGAGACCCGGTGCCACCAGCCGTCCCCTCGGCAGGCTCTGCCTGGCCTCTTGGCGCAGGACGGGGTCAGGGGCAGAGGAGGAGGAGGGCGATGGGGAAGGCAGTGCTGCTGCAAGCCCACTCCGTGCCATGCAGCGCGGGCTGAGGCTGGGGGTCTGACGCCCACCCGCCTCTTGGGTGCTGCTGCCCCGTGTTGGTGCCCACGCGGGCAGAAACACAGCGTGGGGCTAGTTTCCCAACCGGAGCCTCTTTCTTCCTCCCTGCAGGCTGTGGTTTCCTCAGGGCAGGGCAGGCTCCGGCACCCCTTGGCACTGCAGAGCATCCTCGCCGCCGGCCCCGGGATGCTCTGCTCCATGGGGGGGGTCCGGGAGCGCAAAGCCCCACGCAGGGGGAGGGCTGCGGTGCTCGCTCGAGGGGCTCGCTCGAGGGGCTCGCTGCCGCCAGCCACCCCAGCCCCGGCAGGCTGCCCATCGAGGGCACGAGCAATCAGAGCGTGGCAGCGTGCATCGCCGCTCCCCTCGCTTACACAGCCCCTTCCTTCTAGAAAGGTAAGGCAATCCCTCCGCTGTCCCCACAGGCAATTAGCAGCGCCCTGCCTCAGCCTTGGTATCGAGAAACAACACTAACCACTAACAGCTCATTTGCTTCGGTTGCTTGGGCTCCGGGTCAGGGCTGGGGGTCCCGGGGGGCCGCCGCT